TGATTGTCCCGCCACGAAGACAATTTTGAATCACATTGGTAACAATGGATATTATTCATGTTGATACTGTAAGATCATAGGTATCCATATTTTAAATAAAAGACAATACCATTTTGAAGAAGCACCAATTATGAGAACTATCGATAGTTATATAAGTGAATCTACAAAAGCTAAACAAACATGTGAAAATATAAACGGTCATCTAGGTATATCAATTCTACATCAAATTCTAGATATACGGCTTCCAAATTCGATCATAATGGATTATATGCATATAAGATTGCTTCAACATACGCGTAGCGTTGTCCTACAGTTGTACTAAAATATTCAACCAAAAGAAAGAATCGAATTGGACAATAAACTACGTCTTCAACAATTTCCACATACATTCCACAGAAAGATGAGACCAATCAATCATGCACACGTAAAGTATGCTTTACTTAAACACTGTTCTCATAAAATGATGCGAATAGGACATTATATTTTATACTGAAATTATAATGATTAGTACTACTTTATCATGTTATCTCAAGTATACGCTTTCTGAGATCAGGTTTCTGTTCTCTCAGATTATACTCGTATGGAGGCCAAGCGCTCTATGAGTGCTAAGAATATTAGACTTCTCTTTTTTTAATCTAATAGACCTTAAAAAGTGATTTTTAATATGTTTGATAAGACATTAGAAAGTCAAGATCTATTTTGATAGACCTCACTCGAAGATAAGTAATGGTATCTCTTATTAATAATCTCTATTGTTTTCTTGATTTGAAACCTATCGAAGGGTGTGGGTGGGTATAGATGTGGGTGTGTGGGTGTGGGAGTGGAGTGTGTGGGAGTGGGGTGTGTGGGTGTGGGTGGGGTGTGGGGTGTGGGTGTGTGGGGTGTCGGTGTAAATGTGGGTGGGTGTGGATTGATCTTATCTTAAAACACACCAACACCCACACCCGTTATATCAATACCTTCGGTTTCATCATCATCTAAGTCTTCATCTAGAAAATACTTTCATGGATTCACAGTGCTCAAACATAGAAAAATATTTACTTTCATCATTATCAAAACATTGTTGCGATTCTTGAGTTCTTTATTTTTTGTTCATTCTCGTACGTCTCTAATGTTCCTAGAAGATTAAACAATCGTATAATTGAAAAGAGGAAAAAAATCCAAGACAAATTTTAAATATTATCTGCAGTAATAATAGTAGCAGATTTTTTTTACCAGGAATATTAAGTAATGCTGTATCACCCATAATGTTCTTGATACTACTAGGTAAAGCAATACTATATGAATCGGTTGAATTAAAACAGAACAAATAATGTGTTGATCAAATGAAGTTGTCATTTGGTGAGAAAACATTGCGAGGACGCCGAGCTCGTTATTCTCGTTGTGTAGTAGTCACCTCAAAAGTTTAATCTGAAATATTGAAACAAAAATTGATAATAGTTTGAGAAATTTTCCGCCACGAACAATCACTTAAGACATTCGGATTGCGAAAAGATATTAATTATTGATGATTGAGGAATAGAAAAGTGACTATTGAGTTCAATTTTACTATATACGATTACGTTCATCTTAATGTGTTCCTCATTTTTTAATTAATATCATTTCGATATTCTTCAGCAATATGCTAAAGTGATAAGATATCTATAATGTTTTATAAAGCTTGGCACTGATAAATTCTACAAATGATGAAATTGAAAGAGACTTTTAATTATTCATATTCAATCAAGTTCATGATAAACTAAGATAGGAAACACAACGAAAGAATCATTTTCTTCAACAACAATACATACCTCCATAGAACTTTCAATATCAACTACATCAAAATGACAAGATACTTTGGTCAAAACAAAAAAAAATTCGTCAACAGGTTCAATTAGAATACTATAATACGAAGATGAAATTAAAAAAAAATCAGAAAATCGTTTTTTAATCGGATGTCGTTTAACAACTGCATATTGCTTATCATTACAGGACATAAATACGATAACAATACCAAATAATGAACCATATTTGATAAAATAAGAAACAGATGATTGTTTCTTTGTATATTCTAAAGAATGGTAAACGATTTGTTGCTTGTTTCTAAATCGTTGATAGAATTTCATACAATTATTAACATTAGAACAATTACAAAACCTTTGATGAATATTAGGCAATATCTTAAAAAGTTTATCAACATAATTATATTCTTAAAAATTCGGAGTAAATTTAAATTATCTCGATAAGTTCTTCAGGTGCCGATGTTATATCAAAAAGACCATCCGAAGTTGAAATTGAAGAAGAAGGATCTTCATTTTGATGTATATTTTTCAATGCGAAATCTATCTGAAATATGAAAGAATAACAATTTAATATTGTTTTTATTATAAAAACTAAATAATATGCTCGAATTATTTGAAATACCCCTATTAGAAAATAAGAGCTTGCTCAAACATTTTTCTAAGTTCAAAAATATAAATAAAAAAATCCTCCTTTATTAAACTAAAGCATGAATTATATAAAAAAAAACTTACATTTAGATAAAATACAATTTGATCACCCCAAAAACTTGAACCATGCTTATATTTGGATACAGCACCAATAAATTCTTCTTGAAAGAACATGTTGATATTGCATAAGCTTCCGTGATTTCGATGAAGTTCAGCAAAATGGGCATGGAGATGCAGAACAAAATTTTGTTGTTCAGAATAAAGCTTTTCATGATCACGGTAGAATGTAATTAAAAGATCATGAGGTCGATCAGCTGTCGCTTTACTGAAAACTCGACGACCATGAAGTAACTGAAATCAAATGTTCTGTTCGACTCTAGCTATTCATGGCGATGGCAATGGTATTATGATTTTCGCAAAATTTCTGCATTAAAATTTCAATTAAAGTTTTGCAAACAGTCTATTAATTTCAAAACATGTGAACCTGTGTTTTTTTGAAAAAGAAACCACAACTTTAAAAAAAGCAAATCGATTCAGAAAAATTGCGAAAGAATGATATTGTTAAATTTTTTGTATACACTGTTCGCTGTCTGTATACATAACATAGTATAGATATATTTATCTGGCTCTGAAGATGTCAACATAGCTTAGTGTTCTGTTCGTCAAAATTCATTCAGCAGTTCTCTTTATAACTGGTACATTTTAAATTCCATCAGATGAATCTTTAGATTGATGGTCACATGTTGAATCGGAAGAAATCTCATTGGAAATTTTTAAAAGATATTTAATCGTACTCACATGAATACCAACAATGAATAGTGCAAGATGAGCTACTCTGTTGTATTCAAGTGAAATCCGGGTCATAGGTAGAACACAATATAAGAAAAAGTTCCATATTTCTGTGGCTCTAAAATATACAAACGAAAGACATACATTTTTAAATATAATCAATATTTACTTAAGACATCCTTCGCTTAACAATCGCAGCTTTCTGTTAAAAAAATGTGGGAATTATTGAATTGACATTAACTGACCTAATTGCGTTCGCTGAATCAAGTTCCAACACTATTTTGTATAGATAAAGACATATTGCTTTTGCATGGCGTAAAAGGGTAACATGTAAATAATCCGCAATAACAAATTTTGACAGAGGAATGTCGAGAATTTTTTCAAATATTGAAATTCCTAATGGTCCATTTATTTTTGTTTGAAGTTGTTGAGCTTTTCTTGAATCAAAAGAAAAATTAAATTCACCCCTGATTGGGGTATTCTTATCATAAGAATATTGTCTTTTGTTGTTCACATGTACTCCTTCAACTTTGCAATACCAACAGCAATAGTAACCACCGTGTGAATTATGATTAAGTGCCATGCTTAACGTCGGACAATCACTAATCACTCCGTACACTTTTAACATGACTTGAGTACCTAATCTTGTTGAAAAGTCTAAAAACAGAAGATATGACATTTAAACGAATATATTAAATCAACTCAAAGATAATCTCTTAATTTTCAAGGAACAGCTCCTAAAACATTTTCAACCACGCCAAAAGTTCAGATTCTAAATCGATGAAATTTAAAAACATTAAATGTAAAAATGTAACCTTCGAAATATCTGACGTTTTCTTTTATACGTTATCGTTTATTTACAATTAATAAACTGGATGTATCTCAATCAGTAGTGACTATCTATTTCGTTAACAATAGATTTATCTCTTTTTAAGATGTATACTTACCATTTGACTTTAAATATGTTAAGCTGTTAAAAGTTTCACCAAGCCACAATTTAATATCTGGTTTCTGTTTTCTGTTTTCCAACCCAAATCGATAAAATCAAGTTGTTTTGTCATCGATTTCGTACGGCAGGTGTACGTTCAACAATTGAACAACTTAAAATGTACATAGATTGTTTGCTTGATTTACTTAGATTTATACCATCTAAGTGTAAAATGATGCTAATGAAAGGATAGTTAATAGAATTACATAATGTTTTATAATTTCAATTGTAGACAATATTATTATTTTCATCATCTAATATTCGTTGTGTAAAAATTTCACGATATGAATTGATAATGGTAAATAAACGGTCATAAAAGGTGTCCCAGAAGTTCTGAAATGATTTTTAAAAGTCATCATTTTCGCATTTATTATAAGCGAATCTTTTTGAAATTTTTACAGATTGTTGAATCTACCTAGTACTACATAACCACAAGATTTCAAGTTTATATCTCATCATAGTAATGAGAAACTGCACAAAAGACTGCAATGAATTTTTTTCAAAATTTTCCGACAGCTAAAGATGATGTGAAAATAACAGAAAAGTTGTTATTTGCAGGATGCTTCGACTAATATGTGACAGAAGAGAAAATTTTCTTTTACCGATATATTTTTCCTTCTGCACATGTCGATGAGCGGAGTATATAAGGAATAACATTAGTCGATCACAACTGAATCCACACAAAATGTCACATGAACTATCAGCGACAAATAAAAAAGAATTTCGTTCATTTGTATTACATTTAAAACAATTACATCCAACATGGAAATCTAAAGAGATTACAAATTTTCTTATTCAGTCCGAAAATCTCTCGCCTTATACAATGGAAAGTGCTTTGAACGTCAAAGTTTGGAGAATTCTAAATAGAAACCAGGTGAATGATTTGCCAAGATCGAGTGCACCATGTACAACAACAACACTTGAATATATTCAGGCTGTAAAAAATAATCTTCGACTAACCAAAAGCACAACCATCAGAAATGTTAATGCAAAACTTCAACAACAAGGTTTTAAAACATCGAAAAGTTCAATTTGGCGAACTAAACAATTATTAAAATTAAAATGGTGGAAAAGAAAAATAGTACAAAAATTAACAATTGATCAAAAACTTCAATGTGTTATCATTGCCAAACGATTGAGAAAAAAATACGGTTTTAAGAAAGGAAATAAACTTTATGATTGGATGTATGTTTTGAATACAGACTTTAGTGGTACATTCACGTTGAATCCTCAGTCTAACCGACACAATGAAGGTATTTATGCTGAATCTAAATCGGATATTTCATATGAATTAAAAACGAAACCAAAAGAAAAGTTTCAGAAAAGTGTCATGCTGTGGGGCGATATTTCCTATCAAGGATTATTTCCTAAACAGTATCCAATTTTTGTTGATGAGTGGTTAGAACTCATTAGACCAAAAGATGGTAACAGTCGCAAAAAGATGTACTTTACCGGTGCACGTTATGCACAATTTATTCGAACTATTATAGCACAAAAAGCGAATGAAGAATTAGGTGATTTACGTTATGTTATCTTCCAAGATGTGCAAGATCGTAAACAACGAATGAGAGTAGCTTTGGATGCCGTTGATCATGTTTTTCATAATCGGATTGAACCAAAAGATTGTACTGCGAAATTAGCTGATGTCTGGCCCATCGAAAACGTTTGGGGTATATTGAAAGAAAAGCTTCGAGGGCGACAGTATAATAGTCTTGAACATATGAAAAATGATATTAGAAGCGAATGGAATCAATTTAGTGTGTCTTTATGTCGACGGATGATAGATAAAATTCCAGAAAGATTAAAATTAGTTATCGATAAAGGTGGTAATCAAATATAGAACCATTGTTAATTTGATTCATTTTTTATATTTGTATATCTTATTCTGATGATAGTAAACTAGATGATGACGAGCTTGTGAAAACTAGTACATGATACTTGTAGTAAGAAGCTTTGGAAATAGTAACTTTTCTGTTATTTTCACATCATCTTTAGCTGTCGGAAAATTTTGAAAAAAATTCATTGCAGTCTTTTGTGCAGTTTCTCATTACTATGATGAGATATAAACTTGAAATCTTGCGGCTATGTAGTATTAGGTAGGTTCAACAATCTGTAAAAATTTCAAAAAAATTCGCTTATAATAAATGTGAAAATGATGACTTTTAAAAATCATTTCAGAACTTCTGGGACACCCTTTATATGTATTATGTATTGCGTTAAAACATAAGTTCTGCAAATTTTTGTGCAGCATCAAAGGTAACTATAACTTACAGGTCAATTTTTGACCAGATAATGGGATATACGTAGGTTTGTAGAGGAAGACTTCCTCTATCCAATGGTATATATATATTGTCGAATTTTACTGCGTACTGTGAGAGAAAATTAAATTTAAAAATGAGAGATTTAATGCGAGTTTTCTATGTAAAAATTAAAATCAAGCACAGTCAAGCTAAAAATCTGTACGCAACAGGGTTTGATAATATTGGATCGAGGAAGTCTTCCTCTATGAACCTACATTTATCCGTTTATCTGCTTAAAAGGTTATAATCGCCATTATTTTACGACAAAGATATGTAATATCAATCAAGAATATAATCAGAATTATTTTCTACAGCACTCGCTCATCTTACTGGTAATTGTTCAATCTCATGTTTTTATCGAGAATTTCAAGCATATTACAACCAAAATAATTAAATAAACCTATTTGTTTTTCTTTTGAACATTAATTTGATCTATTCACATTAATGGCATAACCAGGAAATTTTTACAGAGGGGGCAAAAAATGGTTTTTGGCTGAGTAACAGACGTTTACAGGGGGGCCGTTTACAGAGGGAGCATTGCAACCCCCTTCCGGTGATTACGCCACTAATTCACACTCGACGAAGTTAGTTACCATATTAATACCAGAGAATTACTTGCAGCAAATTTTGCCATATACCAGAAAATGATCGTGGTAAAAGATCAACACCTTGATGCATAAAAGCAGCAAATCAAAAAAAATAAAGCATTTTGCATGGAAAATTTATTGCGTGAAATAAGATCAGATTCATTTTCGAAATACCATTCATAAAATGATGAACTACTAACAAGAAATAAAATGGCACTAACAAGTAAATAAGAAACAATAACACATATCCAAATTTCTTTTGATAATGGTGTCATAAATGAAAATACACCGGGTTTTTGTTTTTCAGGTTCACGTATCATTATTGATATACCTAAATCAATGAATGGTTTTGAAAAAT